AAATAGCAGAAATGAAAATATGAGCGAGACACAGCTGCCATCCATCTGGACGTTTGCCGGTGGAGGTTGGTCTTACTTAACGCCGTTCCAGCTGTAGCCAGGAAGGTCAGTGAGGATGCCTTATTTGCTATCTTAGAGCAGAAAGTGTAACATAGGCTGAATCATGGTAGATCTCACCATTTACTTAGCCTTTCTTTAAGGTCGCTTAATAAAACTTTATAGTTGTCTCCAAAGAAGTTTTATACATCTTTGGTTACATGTACTCCTAGGTGCTTGGCTATTATATGTTTTTTCTTTATATCTAAAGTTCTAACTGAATGTTACTGATCTGAAAAAACACAATTAGCTTTAGTATAGTAATGCAGTATTCAGCAACATTGCTACCTTCTCTTAATATTTCTAGTCCTTTACCTGTAGACTCTTTTGGAGAGTCTACACTTCAGATTTCCCTTTGTTTAAGGAAAACAAAAGTCTTTGTTGAAACTACTGTAGCTCAGTTTCTCCCCAGTGGAACACAATGCCAGCCAGCAGAGACAATAGGGAACATCTAGTTTCCATTACCACTGAAAACAGATCCAGAGTAAACACGATTATTCTTCTTTTTTAAAAAAATTTATGTATTTTACTTATTTTTTTTTGGCTGTGTTGGGTCTTCATTACTTCACTCGGGCTTTGTCTAGTTGCAGCGAGCGGGGGTTACTCATCATTGTGGCACGCGGGCTTCTCATTGTGATGGCTTCTCTTGTTGCAGAGCATGTGCTCTAGGCACCTGGGCTTCAGTAGTTATGGCCCGCATGCTCAGTAGTTGTCGTGCATGGGCTTAGTTGCTCCACAGCATGTGGGATCTTCCCTGACCAGGGCTTGAACCTGTGTCCCCTGCATTGGCAGGCAGATTCTTAAGCACTGCGCCACCAGGGAAGTCCTAAACACGATTATTCTTTAGCAGGGAAATGTTAGCTTGCATGTAAGTAGAGCTTGTGTTAAAAAAAAAATAGGTAGGGCTTCCCTGGTGGTGCAGTGGTTAAGAATCGGCCTGCCAATGCAGGGGACATGGGTTCGGGAAGATTGCACATGCCATGAAGCAACTAAGCGTGTGTGCCACAACTACTGAGCCTGTGCTTTAGAGTGAAAACCACAACTACTGAAGCCTGTGCATCTAGAGCCCATGCCCCGCAACAAGATAAGCCACCACAATGAGAAGTCCATGCACCGCAACGAAGAGTAGCCCCACTTGCCACAACTAGAGAAAGCCTGTGCGCAGCAACGAAGATCCAATGCAGCCAATAAATAAATAAATTTATTTTAAAAAAGGCAGAAGCAGGATGATTTTCTTCAGTCAACATTGTCAAAATGGTTTTTTATTTTTTAGGTCTGTGGGGGAAAAGGGAAGACAGACAAAAGGAGAGTTGAGATAGTGAATAGGAGGAGCTGTCAGAAGGGTTTGCTGCTGCTGAAAAAGTGGGGCAGGTGAATAAAGCTTCCTTCTCATCTGAAGCACTAAATATAATATCATTAAATAATAAGAAGACATTAGAGCAGAAGCAAGAACTACAATCCTGCAGCCTGTGGAACAAAAACCACATTCACAGAAAGACAGACAAGACGAAAAGGCAGAGGGCTATGCACCAGATGAACAAGATAAAACCCCAGAGAAACAATTAAATGAAGTGGAGACAGGCAACCTTCCAGAAAAAGAATTCATAATAATGATAGTGAAGATGATCCAGGACCTCGGAAAAAGAATGGAGCCAAAGATCGAGAAAATGCAAGAAGTGTTTAACAAAGACCTTGAAGATTAAAGAACAAACAGAGATGAACAATACAATAACTGAAATGAAAACTACATTAGAAGGAATCAAAAGCAGAATAACTGAGGCACAAGAACAGATAAGTGACCTGGAAGACAGAATGGTGGAATTCACTGCTGCGGCACAGAAGAAAAAAGAATGAAAAGAAACGAAGACAGCCAAGGAGACCTCTGGGACATTAAAAGCACCAACATTCGCATTATAGGGGTCCAAGAAGGAGGAGAGAGAGAAAAAGGACCCGAGAAAATATTTGAAGAGATTATAGTCAAAAACTTCCCTAACATGGGAAAGGAAATAGCCACCCAAGTCCAGGAAGCGTAGAGAGTCCCATCCAGGATAAACCCCAAGAGAAACACGCCAAGTCACATAGTAATCAAACTGGCAAAAATTAAAGACAAAGAAAAATTATTGAAAGCAGCAAGGGAAAAACAACAAATAACATACAAGGGGACTCCTATAAGATTAACAGCTGATTTCTCAGCAGAAACTCTACAAGCCAGAAGCGAGTGGCATGACATACTTAAAGTCATGAAAGGGAAGAACTTACAACCAAGATTACTCTAGCCAGCAAGGATCTCATTCAGATTCGATAGAGAAATCAAAAGCTTTACAGACAAGAAAAAGCTAAGAGAATTCAGCACCACCAAACCAGCTCTACTACAAATGCTAAAGGAACTTCTCTACATGGGAAACACAAGAGAAGAAAAGGACCTACAAAACCAAACTCAAAACAGTTAAGAAAATGGTCACAGGAACATACATATCGATAATTACCTTAAACATCAATGGATTAAATGCTCCAACCAAAAGACACAGGCTTGCTGAATGGATACAAAAACAAGACCCATCTATATGCTGTCTACAAGAGACCCACTTCAGACCTAGGGACACATACAGATTGAAAGCGAAGGAGTGGAAAAAGATATTCCATGCAAATGGAAATCAGAAGAAAGCTGGAGTAGCAATACTAATATCAGATAAAACAGACTTTAAAATAAAGAATGTTACAAGAGACAAGGAAGGACACTGCATAATGATCAAGGGATCAATCCAAGAAGAAGATATAACAATTATAAATATATATGCACCCAACACAGGAACACCTCAATACATACATAAGGCAACTGCTAACAGCTACAAAAGAGGAAATCGACAGTAACACAATAATAGCGGGGGACTTTAACACCTCACTTACACCAATGGACAGATTATCCAAAATGAAAATAAAGAAGGAAACAGAAGCTTTAAATGAAACAATAGACCAGATAGATTTAATTGATATTTATAGGACATTCCATCCAAAAACAGCAGATTACTCTTTCTTCTCAAGTGCGCATGGAACATTCTCCAGGACAGATCACATCTCGGGTCACAAATCAAGCCTCAGTAAATTTAAGAAAACTGAAATCATATCAAGCATCTTTTCTGACCACAACGCTGTGAGATTAGAAATGAATTACAGGGAAAAAAACTTAAAAAACACAAACACATGGAGGCTAAACAATACGTTACTAAATAACCAAGAGATCACTGAAGAAATCAAAGAGGAAATAAAAAAATACCTGGAGACAAATGACAACCAAAACACAACGATCCAAAACCTATGGGATGCAGCAAAAGCAGTTCTAAGAGGGAAGTTTATAGCTATACAAGCCTACCTCAAGAAACAAGAAAAATCTCAAATAAACAATCAAACCTTACACCTAAAGGAACGAGAGAAAGAAGAACAAAACCCAAAGTTAGCAGAAGAAATCATAAACATCAGATCAGAAATAAATGAAATAGAAACAAAGAAAGCAATAGCAAAGATCAATAAAACTAAAAGCTGGTTCTTTGAGAAGATAAAAAAAATTGATAAACCATTAGCCAGACTCATCAAGAAAGAGGGAGAGGACTCAAATCAATAAAATTAGAAATGAAAAAGGAGAAGTTACAACAGACACCGCAGAAATACAAATCATCCTAAGAGACTACTACAAGCAACTCTATGCCAATAAAATGGACAACCTGAAAGAAATGGACTAATTCTTAGAAAGATATAAACTTCCAAGACTGAACCAGGAAGAAAGAAAATATGAACAGACCAATCACAAGTAATGAAATTGAAACTGTGATTAAAAATCTTCCAACAGGGCTTCCCTGGCGGCACAGTGGTTGAGAGTCCGCCTGCCGAAGCAGGGGACACAGGTTCGTGCCCTGGTCTGGGAAGATGCCACATGCCGGGGAGCAGCTAGGCCCATGAGCCATGGCCGCTGAACCTGCGCGTCCGGAGCCTGTGCTCCACAACGGGAGAGGCCACAACAGTGAGAGGCCCACATACCGCAAAAAAAAAAAAAGAAAAAAAATCTTGCAACAAACAAAAGTCCAGGACCAGATGGCTTCACAGGTGAATTCTATCAAATATTTAGAGAAGAGCTAACACTCATCCTTCTCAAACTCTTCCAAAAAGTTGCAAAGGAAGGAACACTCCCAAACTCATTCTATGACACCACCATCACCCTGATACCAAAACCAGACAAAGATACTACAAAAAAAGAAAATTACAGACCAATATCACTGATGAATATAGATGCAAAAATCCTCAACAAAATACTGCAAACAGAATCCAACAGCACATTAAAAGGATCATACACCATGGTCAAGTGGGATTTATCCCAAGGATGCAAGGATTCTTCAATATATGCAAATCAATCAGTGTGATAAACCATATTAACAAATTGAAGAATAAAAATCATATGATCATGTCAATAGATGCAGAAAAAGCTTTTGACAAAATTCAACACCCATTTATGATAAAAACTCTCCAGAAAGTGGGCAGAGAGGGAACCTACCTCAACATAATAAAGGCCATATATGAGAAACCCACAGCAAACATCATTCTCAATGGTGAAAAACAAAGCATTTCCCCTATGATCAGGAACAAGACAAGGATGTCCACTCTCACCACTGTTATTCAACGTAGTTTTGGAAGTCCTAGCCACGGCAATCAGAGAAGAAAAAGAAATAAAAGGAATCCAAATTGGAAAAGAAGAAGTAAAACTGTCACTGTTTGCAGATGACATGATACTATACATAGAGGATCCTAAAGATGCTACCAGAAAACTACTAGAGCTAATCAATGAATTTGGCAAAGTTGCAGGATACAAAATTAACGCACAGAAATCTCTTGCATTCCTATACACTAATGGTGAAATATCTGAAAGAGAAATTAAGGAAACACTCCCATTTACCATTGCAACAAAAAGAATAAAATACCTAGGAATAAACCTACCTAGGGAGACAAAAGACCTGTATGCAGAAAACTGTAAGACCCTGATGAAAGAAATTAAAGATTATAGGAACAGATGGAGAGATATACCATGTTCTTGGATTGGAATAATCAATATTGTGAAAATAACTATACTACCCAAAGCAATCTACAGATTCAATGTAATCCCTATCAAATTACCAATGGCATTTTTTACGGAACTAGAACAAAAAATCTTAAAATTTGTATGGAGACACAAAAGACCCCGAATAGCCAAAGCAGTCTTGAGGGAAAAAAACGGAGCTGGAGGAATCAGACTCCCTGACTTCAGACTATACTACAAAGGTACAGAAATCAAGACAATATGGTACTGGCACAAAAACAGAAACATAGATCAATGGAACAAGATAAAAAGACCAGAGATAAACCCATGTACCTATGGTCAACTAATCTATGACAAAGAAGGCAAGGATATACAATGGAGAAAAGACAGTGTCTTCAATAAGTGGTGCTGGGAAAACTGGAGAGCTACATGTAAAAGAATGAAATTAGAACCCTCCCTAACACCATCCACAAAAGTAAACTCAAAATGGATTTGAGACCTAAATGTAAGATCGGACACTATAAAACTCTTAGAGGAAAACAAGAAGAACACTATTTGACATAAATCACAGCAAGATCTTTTTTGATCCACCTCCTAGAATAATGGAAATAAAAACAAAAATAAACAAATGGGACCTAAAGAAATTTCAAAGCTTTTGCACAGCAAAGGAAACCACAAACAAGACGAAAAGACAACCCTCAGATGGGGGAAAATATTTTCAAATGAATCAATGGACAAAGGATTAATCTCCAAAATATATAAACAGCTCATGCAGCTCAATATTAAAAAAACAAACAACTCATTCCAAAAATGGGCAGAAGACCTAAATAGACATTTCTCCAAAGAAGACATACAGATGGCCAAGAAGCACATGAAAAGCTGCTCAACATCACTAATTATTAGAGAAATGCAAATCAAAACTACAATGAGGTGTCACCTCACACCAGTTAGAATGGGCATCATTAGAAAATCTACAAACAACAAATGCTGGAGAGGGTGTGGAGAAAAGGGAAACCACTTGCACTGTTGGCGGGAATGTAAATTGATACAGCCACTATGGAGAACAGTATGGCGGTTCTTAAAAAACTAAAATTGGAATTACCATATGATCCAGCAATCCCATTACTAGGCATATACCCAGAGAAAACGATAATTTTAAAAGACACATGCACCCCAATGTTCATTGCAGCACTATTTACAATAGACAGGTCATGGAAGCAACCTAAATGTCCATCGACAGACGAATGGATAAAAAAGATGTGGTACATACATACAATGGAATATTATTCAGCCATAAAAAGGAACGAAATTGGGTCATTTGTAGAGACATGGATGGATCTAGAGACTGTCATACAGAGTGAACTAAGTCAGAAAGAGAATTGGGTCATTTGTAGAGACACGGATGGATCTAGAGACTGTCATACAGAGTGAACAAAGTCAGAAAGGGAAAAACAAATATCGTATATTAATGCATATATGTGGAACCTAGAAAAATGGTACAGATGAACCGATTTGCAGGGCAGAAACTGAGACACAGATGTAGAGAACGTATGGACACCAAGGGGGGAAAACGCGGGGGGCTGGTGGTGGTGGTGTGATGAATTGGGCAATTGGGATTGACATGTATACACTGATGTGTATAAAATTGATCACTAATAAGGACCTGGTGTATAAAAAAATAATTTAAATTTAAAAAAAGACATTAAATCCTGAAATGGGTATAAAACCCATTGTGGAATATTTTCATGGACTTGTTTAGTTTTTGCTTTTAATTGGGATACAGGCTTGTTTGTTAGGGGAGGAACAGTTTTCCCTTCTTCCCTTCCAGGTCCTTTGGCTGGTCTAATAATTTTTAAGTTGACATAAGACAGATTAACAAGAGAAAAACAAATTTAATTATGTATGTATGGGAGTCCCAAAGATGGGAGACTCAAAGACAGGCTATTGAGGTTTAGCTGCCATCCTGAGCTAAGGAGAAGGGGGTAGGGGTCTGGGACATCAAAGGGGAGGAAGACATTTCACAAAAGATGAGAAGAGGAAAGGTGTGGTAAACAAATGCTTGCCACACCATGCGGAGATGTGTTTCTAATGTAAGAAAAGTTATCTTTGGTAATAGCTCTGTTCCTGGCACAGGCTCCCTATCTAATTTCTTTTCGGCAATTAAGAGGGAGATAAAAAGCTCTTCTTGGCTTCCCTGGTGGCACAGTGGTTGAGAGTCTGCCTGCCGATGCAGGGGACAGGGGTCCGTGCCCCGGTCCGGGAAGATCCCACATGCCGCAGAGCGGCTGGGCCCGTGAGCCATGGCCGCTGAGCCTGCGTGTCTGGAGCCTGTGTTCCACAACGGGAGAGGCCACAACAGTGAGAGGCCTGCGTAACGGGGAAAAAAAAAAAAAAGCTCTTCTTGAGTTTGTTGGGCCTTCACCATCTTCGGCTTGAAATAATCCTCATGCCACAGTGGCACATTCTGGGGCAGCCTGCCCTGAACCCCATCATCTGTCAGGCATTCTTAGGTTCCACTCAGAGGTAAAGGGTGAACCCAGCTCCTTTCCAGTATCATTTTCTTGAAACATCACCATATTAGAAGGAAAGAGTAAAAGTGTTTTTTCAGGGTCACAAGGGTACCCAAGTTGTGACTTCAATTTTCTGTATTTACCTGATCAGATGTGTTCTGAAATGTTGCTTGTGGATGAGTGGTGAAGACACTTGGAATGTGAGTCCTCTTTGGGGCTTGAAGTTATTTCTACTGGAGCTTTTCCAGCATGTGTTACAGATGCAGGCCTGGTGAGCTCTGGTGGCACAGGGAGAGGCTGGCTGGTAGGTACAGGCATGACTGATACTCCCTGCTGTGTGACTCCAGGTGGTATTGAAGGAAATGGGCTGATGGAATGGCGCGGGGTCTTGGACTAAAAGATTAAAATATGCAAAGGAAAAGGCTGAATATGATTATACCAAATGATGAATAATTAAGGCAGTATTTCTAAAATTGTTCTAGAACCCCCATGCCCTGTGAGGTAGTAATAGGCATTTCTCTCAAAAAAATCCTGTGCACTAAGTTTTGAGAATGTGGCATACCACAGTACCCTCTTTAAAATTCAAAGTTTATATTATTGTGCTTACTGTCAACCATTCAATAAATTATAATTAAACATCTACTATGTGAAGCAATGTTCTGGGGAACTGAGGATACAGCAATGAACAAAATAAGCCAAGTTCTTGCCCTCATGGAGCCTCCATTTTTGTGGTGGTGACAGATACACAAATTATATTGTGTACTGAATAAAGTAAAGTAAAAAACATTTAAAAAACAAAGGTAAGCAGATGAAGAGAAAGGGTGCTCAGCTATCAGGAGAGGGCATTTTTGCTGACAGTTGGATGTAGGGAGAGAGAGCGCTCTGCCAATACCTTGGAGATGGACATTTGAGGGGTGCAAAGGCCCTGAGGCCACGGCCTGATGGCTTTGAGGAACAAGGAGGCTAGATTAGCAAAAGGGGGAATTGGGGGAGACCAGGAAGATCCTGGGGTGGGGTGGGAGGAAGGGATGGGGGTGGAGAGAGCATGTCACGTCAGGCAATCAAGAAGAGTATGATTTTACTCTGCATGAGATGGGAAGATACTTGGGGGCTTTGAGGAGCAGCAGGATGATCTGATTGTGCTGGACGCCCTCGGACTGCTGGGTTGAGAAGGGACAGGAAGGGGCCAGGCCTGGAAGCAGGGAGATCAGGAGGAGGCACATGCACAGCGTAGATGGGAGATGACGGTCGCTCGGAGACGGTGCGCAGTGGTTAGGCTTCAGCACGTGAAAGGCTCTGAGAAGTCCTAAGGTCAAAAACCTTTGTTTTCCTTCCTTCTGGCAACATTTTAAGAATGTTGGTTGTTGTCTTACAGAATATCACTTGGGAAATGCTGCTTTAAGGGGTATTTATTTCACCCCTATTCTCTTTTATGTTGCTAGAAAACTTACATTTTGCAGTTAATGTTGGATCAAATAAATATGCATCTATATTTACACATCCACTAAAAGGTTTCTATGCAGGACACAGAGGCAAGAAGGCTGAGAAATTTCTTGAAGGTGTTGTTTTTTTTTTTTTGGCCATGCTGAGTTGTTTGCAGGATTTTAATTCCCTGACCAGGGATTGAACCCGTGCCCCCTACAGTGGAAGCATGGAGCCCTAACCACTGGTGTGCCAGGGAATTCTCTTGAAGGTGAAATTTATAGATTATGCAGAGGTCCTACCCTTATTTTCCTTTCACTCAGATTTCTTTCTTTTTCCCTGTTTAAAAGAATTATTTTTATTTATTTATTTATTTATTTATTTATTTATTTTGTGCGGGCCTCTCACTGTTGTGGCCTCTCCCATTGCGGAGCACAGGCTCCGGGCCCAGCCACTCCGCGGCACGTGGGATCCTCCCGGACCAGGGCACGAACCCGCGTCCCCTGCATCGGCCGGTGGACTCTCAACCACTGCGCCACCAGGGAACCAGGGAATGGCCGAGAGCTGACCCACGTATATGTGGTCAGCAGGTTAATGTCGGGTGGCATCGGGGAATAAATGGTCGAGGGTTGCATCGGCAGGTGGACTCTCAACCACTGCGCCACCAGGGAAGCCCCTAAAAGAATTATTAAATTTTATTGCATTGCATATATTTTGGTAAGATGTCACAAGTCCTTTTTTGGGATGAAGCAGGGAATAAACCAACAACCAACCAACAAATGCTAATTATATCAACATGAAAGCCAAACAGAGGCTTTCAAATTTTCTTTAATAAAGCATCCACCAAACCTGATTCTTTCCTGCACTTAAGTACTTTCCTTTTCTTCTTCAAAAATTATATCCAGAGCCCTCTACGAGACAGAGTAGAGTTCTGCCAGGACCCACCAAGCATGACAAAAAGAATAATATTCCAAGATGTGCACTGTGAAGGTCAGTACTTACCAGACCAGCATGAGCAGGTTGGTGGCATGTGGTTGAAAGATGAGCAGCTACTATAGGAAAAAGAAAGTCAATGAAGCTCAAGGAAAAGTTTTAGGATAGAAATATTTCTATTTTACTTGAGGATTACTCACGGCTAAAAACAACACAAATTGTTTTATATAGGAAACCACAGTGATCATTTCCCACTGTTGACACATCTGTAGACAAACCAGAAGACTGACTAACAGGATGGAGGACTGAAAACAGAAACTGGATTCTAAAAGTCAAAAATCTGGGGTCCAGAGCTGGTTTGCCTTTCACTGTAACTATGAAGCCTTGAGCAAATGACTTAACCTCTTAGTTTTCTCATCTTGAGAACTGGTGTAATAATATCCAACGATGTGAAAATTAAAGCAATGTATGTAGAGCTGAGTAAAACCTCACCTCAAATTAGGGTCATTAGGTTGACAGCTTGCTGAGAACAGCAAACTAACCCAGAACTTCAACTGTCTATCTGAGAAGGGGTTATGACCACTAAATAAGCCAACAGGCTGCTGAATTTAGGGTGATACAATTTCTTAGTCTTAAACAAATGCGTTTTGACAGATCTTGCCTTAAAAGATAAGGAAAAAAACAAAGAATAAAATGGAGCCTATGAATAGCACTTTAGAACCTGGGAATTGACTCCAAAGGACACAGAGGAAAGTGTAGCTCTGAAAATCATCAACAGAAAAATCCAGAAGATTATTTCAGAAAGCTGTTTAACATCCTTAATTGAAACAAAGTCTTTTTTTTTGGCTGTACCGAGAAATAGAGAATCTTAAAGATAAACCAACTGAAGCTAATATGCATAAGAATGAGACAGATTAAAAGGGAAATAAATGATATTAGAGGATTTCAAGAAAACCAAAAATGCTACAGAAAAATTAAGATCCATGTTGGACGTAATACAGGACAGAACTGAGGTGGAAAAGTCAAATCAGTGGTACGTAGGATAAATGTCAGGAGTTCTTTCAGAATGTACCAGAAAGAGTGATAGATAGGAAACCATTGCTTCACTTAAAAGAATGACAGGAAAGATATGGAGGACAGAAGCCAGCAGGATAGCACATAGATAACTGGTATTTCTCAGGGACAAAACCAGAGCAAATGAAATAGAAGGGATAAATGCGTAGAATAGAATAAAACTTTCATAAGCAAAATCAGTGAAAAGTAACCTAGATGCATGCTAAAAAAAAGTTTCTGTAGCACAAGGTTTAAAAAATTCTACAAGCAATCTGATATGGAAAAAAAAAGGCTACCAGAAAAAAAAAGGGGGGGTGGCTAGCCTTAATCTTTTCCACTATGGCAATAAGTGCCAGAAGACAAAGATGTCTACAGAGTTTTGAGGGGGAAGACTGTGAGGAAAGAATTGCATCACTTTCATTGTAGAGTGTTGGTTATTCTCTACTATGTCCTCCCTTCCTTCCATGAGAACATGGCAGCCCAGCTAAGGACTACATTTCCCAGCCCTCCTTGCTTGCAGTGGTGTGGACATGTGATCAGGTCCTGGCCAATGGGATATGAGAAGTAAAAGATGCAATTTCCAGGCTGTGCCCTTAAAAAAAAAAAAGGATCAGCCCCCACCCCACCCCTCTCTCCTTCCCACTTGCTGGAATGTGAACATAGAGTACAGGGTGATAAAACAGCTTTTATAGACCTGAGATGGATGCTACAAGTTGATGTTGGCAGAACAAGGAAGAGCTTGGGTCCTGTAAACCACTGATCCTTTCAGCCTTAGACCTCTTACTCAGACTGTTATGTAAAAGAGAAATGAACTTCTGTTTTGTTTAAGCTACCATTTTGTCCTTTGTTACAGCAACTGATCCTACCTTTTAACTGTACACCCTGCTAATATATGCCTCACTGGTGTTAAAGTAACCATATCAGGCCCAAGATGGAGTCACTCATGTTAAGCCCCGCATCAGCAAACGGCTCTTCCAGGAAAGGAAGGCCAAAGTCAACCAGTCAGTGCCTGCCTGCCCAGTACAAGTTACGTAACCCAGCTCCATCACTTCCTTTTGCTCCTTAGAAGTAACCTTGCTTTAACCACTTAGTAAATGCCCAGTATAACCTCCTTGCTCCTGCTCATCTCTGTCTATAAAAATCTCTCCCCTTGTACAGCTCTTAAGAGATCCTTTCTGTCTGCTAGAGTGGATGTTGCCCAACTCATGAGTCACTGAATAAAAGCTTGCTAGATCAGTAAATTGTCAGGGGAAAGTTTTCCTTTAACATTAGGAAGAGACAAGAAAGACCCCTTTTGATTATTCACAAGCTCCCAAAAGATTTCCACCAATAGATCTTTCTTGAAAAAACAATAGGAATAGAGATGAAATGAAATTAAGAACTCGGAAGTGGGAAGTTATGGTACAAAGTGGTTGGTGCTAAATACGAAACCAGTTAAAACAAACTCTAAATTATTGTTGGAAATCTGGCTTTGATAAAAGCATGAAAAAAGTATTCTTAAGTTGTATAGTATAAAAATAATTATTTACTATAACAATAACCTGAATAAATCCCACAGAATATACTAACAAGGTCTAGTGAGTGAGGGTGGGGAGGTGAAAAAACTAACCTGTGCTATAATTCTATTACCAGATGAGGGGATTTCAAGAGAGACCGTTTCATTCCTGAGCCCGACAACTAGAAAAACATTAAGTATAAGAATGTGTTTAAAAAAAACACAAAACTTCTTGAAGGTAAATAATTAACACAAGACTACTGAAGAACAAAATTTCAATGAAAGACAAAAGCAAGGAAGCATTAGAACCAGAAAGCACAGAACAAGGCAAGGAATGACATGTTATTAAAATAAAGTTGAATATGATAAACTCTACTATAAAAATATTCTCAGAGTGAGTGAATTAGATGCATTTACATGAAATTTAGTAGGCACACGCCTAAAGCAAAGTGACATAAAATTTTTTAAAGGACCACACATACATAAATATAAGGTGATCTCCTTTCTCAATGAGATTTTTTTCAAGTTATTTTTGAGCAAATTTGACTATATAAACTTGAAGGATGTATGTGAAACAAATGTCTACTTATTTAATTCAGTAATTTAGTTTTACAAAGGCATAATTAAAATCACGTTATACAAAGTAGTATACTAATTTAGAAGCTTTGCTCTTCTGAAACTCAATTTCATGACATAGCTTTATTCAAACTTTTCAAATCCATCTTCAATATCACTGCTTTCATTATAACCAGAAGAAATTTCAGAATTATTTAGGTTTTCCAAAATATCTCATCTTTACTTCCGTCTAATTCTATCACTATCTTTTTTCCCAACTCACAAGTACTCATTTACAAAGCATTCAGAAAAGCTGATTTTTACATTTTTTCTTTAGATATATATTCTCTCTAGATGAGAGAATGTCTCTGCAACAGTAACACTTTCTCAATTGCTTTTTTAAAGGATACTTAAGGGGTTTGTTGACAAGGACACCCAACCCTTGAAGTTGTGTGCTGCCACCCGTAAGAATATCACTAGACCCACTTTATTTTTATTATTTTATTTTATTTTTTTAAAGGGTTTTAAAAAATTTTATTTATTTTATTTATTTTTGGCTGCGTTGGGTCATCATTGCTGTGTGCGGGCTTTTCTCTAGTTTCGGCGAGCAGGGGCTACTCTTCGTTGCAGTGCGCGGGCTTCTCATTGCCGTGGCTTCTCCTGTTGCGGAGCACGGGCTCTAGATGTGTGGGCTCAGTAGTTGTGGCACGTGGGGTCAGTAGTTGTGTTTCGCGGGCTGTAGAGCACAGGCTCAGTAGTTATGGCACGTGGGCTTAGTTGCTCCACAGCATGTGGGATCTTCCTGGACCAGGGCTTGAACCTGTGTCCCCTGCACTGGCAGGTGGATTCTCAACCACTGCGCCACCAGGGAAACCCTAGATCCACTTTAAATTTGTCTCTTTTTTCACCCATTCTGTCAGGTGATCTCTATAATTAGCCAACACTGATATTGATTGAGGTCATTTCATACTCATGCATTTTCCCCAAATAGTATTTGTTTTTCAAAAATTTTTTTTAAAAAAGGGAGACTACCACAATATGAAAGACTTTGCAAGGGCTTTAACACGACTCTTTTTTGATGGAAACTTTTGTGGGAAAAAAACTTGTCTTAGGGCTTCCCTGGTGGCACAGTGGTTAAGAATCACCTGCCACTTCAGGGGACACGGGTCCGAGCCAAGGTCCAGGAAGATCCCACATGCTGTGGAGCAACTAAGCCCAGGTGCCACAACTACTGAGCCTGCACTCTAGAGGCTGCGAGCCACAACTACTGAGCCCACGTGCCACAACTACTGAAGTCCACGCACCTAGAGCCCATGCTCTGCAATAAGGGAAGCCACCGCAATGAGAAGCCCATACACCACAACAAAGAGCAGCCCCCGCTTGTCACCACTAGAGAAAGCCTGCGCACAGCAATGATGACCCAACGCAGCCAAAAATAAAAACAAATAAATTTTTTAAAAATGAAAGCAAACACTGCAATTTTAAGATCAGACAAAATAGAATGTAAAGAATATTTACTGAGTACCCGTGATGACACATTTCAGCATTAATTAAGTCTTGTGCATCCCTTAAGGGTGGAATTGATTTCACTACACATTACCTGAGGTCATTTTGTTTCTCGGTATTGTGACTTCTCTTTTTGTCCTCTTGGGTTTCCTATGTGAATGAGAATTATTCCCATTTCTTTCATAACTGGCATCTTGGTCTGAAAAGGCATCTATTTGGAGGCCAATGCAAAAGTTAACTTATAGGATAAAATGCTAGGTGGAAGTCTATAAAATAATCACTACACGCACATATGTGATAATTAAAACACATATGTTAAAGAAAACAAATTAAAGATAACTATCCAGTTGTTTTTAAAAAGAACAACAACGTAGGAATTCTGAAGTAGGTCTTTTGCTCTGGAGCACAGTCACAACATCTCAAAATTAGGTCCACCAATTGGGTCAACAGTGAGAAGACAGAGAATTAAGTTTACTTTAGGAAATTACATTCTAAGCATAAGATTCTCCTTTGTATTCGATAATTCTTATTGGTAGAGATTAAAGAGTTCAGAAGGTGGGCAACAGCATTCTTGAATGTGCCTCTCTGTGTATATTTGCTGTTTCTTATCACGCTGCTGAACGTGGCTGGAGAAATCATACAACCCCGTTGACTACATCTCACCTTAAATTCAGGATCATGAACCACGAGGGGCCTGCCTTCACCCTGCCTGGTAATCGAAGTATTTCCCTAGTCTATTCTCACTTCCACTCTCCTGGGTGGCCCTTTCCCACTTCCTCCTCATTCTCTCCCCTCAATCTTGCCATGTCTTTATTGTAAAACCTGAGTTGTTTATCCTGTAAAGCTTCCCAATTCTGGATTTTGATGACTGCATTCCCATGGTGCTATCTCACATGCTCTCAGTTCTGACTTTTTATAAACTGGTTGGCTCTAGAGGCTTAATCAGATTCAACTTCTACTTTCTGTAAGAATACTTAGTAGGCGGTGTCAAGTGCTTCCACCAGGAGTCACATAATGTCTGTCTGATAACTAATAACTATCTTTAATAGTCTAGCAGCCATTGGTGATTATCCCCTAGATCCATTTTTTCATTAGGGATTGTGGGAACTTGTGTTTCATATTTTATTACAAACTATTGAATTTATAAATATCAAAACATCACGCATGTACTACTTAAACAAGAGCTATAACACACTAACAGCAAAACCAAAGTCAAAGCTAAATTATTCAGAACTAGTAGCAAGTATGTAATTTAAGCTAATGATATGCTGATGCTTCTCCTAAAGCACAGAGTGTTTCAAAGGATGTGCAACACTGTGACCTTAGCCAGAATGGCAGATAGGTCTAAAAATATTTTTCAGATGTCCCTAGGATAGATCTCCATTTATCAATGGCTGTCATATCATCCTATGATCGTTAGTTTGAAGTAATGAGTTTATAATATTACTTTACTTTACCAACGGCATGGAAGTATTTCAAAGTTTTCACAGCCAGTACGGCTGTCTTGGCACTTACGAGAGGAATATTAACCCTATTACAACACCACTTTTAACACAAACTGTTACTTTTTATCCCAACTTGTTTACTGTTCCAATTTCTTAATGCTCTTCTTACATGTGAGCTTTAAGTGTTTTTAAAGTAAATGAAGAAAAATGAGTTCAACTATTCAAATGTTGAAAAAGTCAATAAGTATCTGAAATAATATTGTACAATAATATGAAGCATCAGACTTCTTTTCTGAATGTTCAGTATTTGAACATTTACGAATACTTCTCCTACCGGCACGCTATTTGGGAAGAGGCATCTCTTAAATTCATAATAAGATGTATAAACACTCTGACAATAATGGTTAATACCAATATTAGATCTCCAAAAGTGTTTTCACCTTTGACATGAATGTGAAGCTATCTAGAAGCAGAAGGTAAACTTTGAACCAAAAATTGAAACTGCACAATAACATTAACAGCAATAATTGCTATAGTAGGCCGCGAACTGTTCTAATACCTTATTTGTATTGTCTTACTTAATCCTCGTAACAATCCTTGGAAGGACGCTGGGCTGCATGGAGGTTAAGCTGCTTGCCCAGGGTCGCAGAAACAAGATGGGAACCCAGGAAGCCCGACTCCACAGCTCCAGCTCTTCACCGCAGTGACCTACTTCCTCTCATTATCGGAACATAGACTCAGAATTTACAGAACTGGCTTGGATAAACTGAACAGAATTCTTTTTGTCCAAGATTTTCTTCTGCACAAACATTCTATGTTCTATAGCAGAAATCTCTTGCCAGTACATGAAAAATAATACCGGAAAATGCATCTTCACTCCAAAACCAAGAGTAACTGACAAAGTCTAAAAGCTCAACTCTTGGAGAGTGAAAAATGGATGGATAATCAACACTATTTAGACTACATTAGGAGTTGTTTCTCCAATCCTGGAGATGGGTCTAGCGAAATAAACTCCTGTGATGATGAGAAAAGCACATAGCTCTAAGACGGCTGTCAGTTCTAGGGATGCAGTTTGTAAGAACGAAACACTTGGGCACTTGACTTGGGCAGAGATTAGGCTCACAGCCTTGGCCTCATTAACAATAGCATGCTTACAGCAGAAACTAACACAACTTTGTAAAGCCACTATACTCCGATACAAATTAATTTTTCGAAACAACATGCATGTTATCATGGCAAAAGGAACAAAGATATCACAAAGAGCTTTGAAAGGGTGACGGAGAGGTCTGAAGCTAGAAATATATTACTTTGAAATACTGGGTCCTTTCAAGAGCCAGTATTTGAGGAAGGTGATCTTTTTTTTTCTTGTAATAGAGAAATATTGCAATGTATTCTGTTTTATGAAGCATCCAGAGCTGCTGTATATTTTAATAAGAATGTGTTTGTGATTTTTTTTAAAAAAGTGCAACAAAATTTTTACCTAACAGTCTGAGACATCATTGAGAATTCTGAGAATTCTGTCAATTCACTGAGCTGTGAACAAATGCTTTGTGACTACTGCATGAAGAACGTTAATTGGAAAAAAAACCCCAACTATGCACACCCCCCACTTAATTCTCACCTCCTACCTCTGAAGAAGCAAGCCTCTAAATGATAACAAGCTCCCCTATATGCCACTGTATTGTTTTCCTCCTTTGTTTCCTGTTCTTCTCTCTAAAGCCCAAGTGCTAAAAGGACTGGAGGGGTACATGTGGGAAATGTACCCACAGCCCACCAAGTCAGGAAGTGAAGGGAACGTCAAGGAATGGCTCTGCCCAACTACTGTTGTCTGTGAGTGATGGACGGTAGAGGCTTCCTCCTGCAGAGGGGCTGCAGGAGGAAGCCTCTACCGTCCATCACTCACAGACTCTTTACCTACTGCTCTCACATGTTCTCCTTGTTTACAATCAGTTTGTGACAATTAGGTCTTTGGCAGCATGTGGTCTCATCACTTACCAGCCTGGCAAATCAACTAATGCCCTAGTGAGCACAAGTCCACTTTTGATGAGATCCGACTGGGGTTTCGGAACAAGTAAATGCAGGTGGGCGTGGGGGCCCAGTGGGCTGTGACGTCTGCTGCTGGGAAACCAGACCCAGATGAGACTCATACCCAAAAGTCAAACATTTAGAAAAATGTAAGTATGAAGACCAAATCCTGCTAGCTTCCAATAGATGGAAATTTAGGATTGCCCCCCCCAACAAATTATAGATTATTTATTTTTTCATATTATGCATTATCACAAGGCTTAGTATTAATTTACCTAGACTTCAATGAAGATGATGTAATAATGCCTTGGATTTTTCTCTAAGACCACAGGATTATGGTGCATAATTTTGAAAATATCCGTGTAAGAAAGACAAGAGGCAAATAATTTCTCTCCAACGTTCTGTTAGGAAACATGGGGCAGAGAATGATAGAGAGATATTTACCAGGAAAAAAAAAGTGACCGTAAAAGGATTCCCATTTCAGAATCTCGCGTGACACTTTTAGTGAAATAGCAGGTAAGTTAACTTTTGAGAGGCTCTGAGAAAAATCTCATCATTTTTCTGACACAGACAAATCAAAGGCTGTAGCACAAAAGTGGAGATATTTCAGAGGAATGATGGTAACAAAGTGGATTGCTTTTTCTGTATCCAAAAGAAGAAAGATTTAAATTTTTTTCCTTCTTTTGTCTCAGTAAAAGTAAGGAAGTTTCCTTCATAAACACTAAACCTCAGAGCCTTACCTGGGTTTTTTTTCCTTGATGTCTTCCCAGCAGCGTTAAAATTTCCCCAACCTACCACTTCTTTCCTTCTTCCAGAAAGTCCCGGAGGGTCTCGAACCTCCTGGTTCCAAGTGAAAGCAGGGTGTCCTCTCTGAGCACGACAGTAATCTTCTGCTTCCTGAAAGCTGCAATGAAACCTGTTAAGCTGATAACAATTATGTTCTCCATGTTGCTCTGGGCTATCCAGCTCACTTCCTAGAACGATACCTGTTGTGATGTATAACCAAAGCCACGTTCTTCCTTTAAAGAACATTTTCTTTGTGCACTGTGCGCATGAAAATCGTAGAGGCTCACACAGCTACTGAAGCCCGCTTGCCTACAGCCCGTGCTCCGCGAGGAGAGAAGCTGCCGCAACGAGAAGCCCGCGCACCGCAAAGAAGAGTAGCCCCTGCTCGCCGCAACTAGAGAAAGCCCACGCGAAGCAACGAAGACCCAACGCAGCCAAAAATAAAAAATAAATAAAATAAAATAAATTTAAAAAAACGTGTTGGGGCTCAGCAGCTGCCTGGTCCTTTAAATACATTCTTGGTGGGTTTATCTTATTAGTATTATTCTTTTAGAAACTGGTAATAATTTGTCAAGGAGACAAAAGGTTTTGTTTTAAGGACCCAGGTGGAGTTCCTATAAGCTGAAAACAAATGCCAGAGATCAATAAAGCAATGGGCCTTCATAGCTAGGGCAGCACCACCTGTGTCTATACAACTGGCTATACCTTTAGCTTTATAATAGATCTTTATTTGCTAAGTCTAAGCTGTAAGGGGATGGAGGACGATGAATATCTAAGTCAGTGTTGCTAAAAATTTAGTAATGTATTTTTTTTTTAAAGAAAACCATTCTTGCAGACCCCTATGATGGGTTTAAATTATTGTATTGTTTCTTAAATACATTTATACACAAAACTAGGTGTAATCTCTCTCCTTAAAGCTCTTACATAATCATAAAAGCCAAAGAATAAATATTTGATGAAAGAATGAATAGAAATTAAATATAAACAAAACCGAAAACCAATGAAATTCAAATTTTGCCAAACTAAATAGCCACTTAGCAGATAAACAAAGCTCTGGCCTACGACTGCACAGGTTCTTTTGATTTTGTCATTCACTCTGCTTCGTACTGTAGGGAAGAATCAATTCTCTCACCACTTTTCTTTAATTAATTTGCTGAAAAACCTTTGTTCAGGGCTTCCCTGGTGGCTCAGTGATTAAGAATCCGCCTGCCAATGTAGGAGAAATGGGTTCGAGCCTTGGTCCGGGAAGATCCCACATGCCGCGGAGCAACTAAGCCCGTGCACCACAACTACTGAGCCTGCGCTCTGGAGATCACGAGCCACAACTACTGAAACCTGCGCGCCTAGAGTTCGTGCTCCGCAACAAGAGAAGCCACCGCAATGAGAAGACCGTGCACCACAACGAAGAGTACCCCCAGCTCACGGCAACTAGAGAAAGCCCACATGCAGCAACGAAGACCCAACGTAGCCAAAAATAAATATATAAAATAAATAAATAAACAACCTTTGTTCATAGAGCATGTCATTTGATCTTCACCTGTAGCACATCCATCATCTATGTATTTTAGCCAGTTCTCTTTCTTGGCACCAAAATGAGCTCACAAATACAAATAAATGTGGGCACTGAAATTGCCTGGCAGCTTTCAGGGTTCAGTTGGTTATCCAAATGGTCCAAATGATGCTTACATTACTTTAAAAAATCATTGTGGAAGTGGACACCAAAATCAAAAATTCTCTTAAGTGTAAACCCCAAGAACAAATCCCTCAGTTTGAAAACCACTGCAATAATCAAACGACTGGTACGATGAAATATAGTATGGTCCCTACTTTCAAACAGTTTACAGTCTAATTAGGGGAGAAAAGACATAACAAGTGTAGTTAATAAAGCTCCACTACAGAGGTATAGCTTAAATCTGTGAAGGATCAGTTGAAGATGTACTTCCAGCACTTGAACATATAAGGGTGTCCATATCTAGGAAGACAGAGCAGGCATCTTGGCAGAAGCGTCCACGAGAGTAAATGCATGGAGGTGAGACGGTGGAAGGCATTTATACAGAGAAAGAAATAATGCTCTCTGTGTGTGGGGGCTAGAGGAACAGTAGTGGGAACTGAAACTAGAAAACTGAATTGTTTCAAACGCCAAGAAAATAAGAGTTTGCAATTTGGGGGGAAGATTTCTGAGCAGAGGAGTCCAAGTCTGGGCTGCAATGGAACAGTTTGGGTGCAGGACACTTTCATTTTTCGAAGTTCACAGTCTTAATTTCCCAATATCCTTACAAACATACACACATATGTTTTAGGCATTTTAAAAAAGTGAAACCTGATGTTCAAGGAGTATTCTTTTAAAGTCAACTCAGGTATCTTACACAGCGCTGTAAATCATTTCAACCCTTTTTAGTGCCCGGTATATACTCAATCCATGCTTTATCTAAAGCACAAACACTATCAATAGCATGTTTAACTTAAATGATAAAAAAACTGGTGAGTGTTGCTTAGAATCGAAGAATCAACATACAGTTAATCTTCTCTCCAGATTGCAGGATGCAGGAAAGCTCTGCGAAGCGACCCAACCAGATTCGGCTGAGCCTCTGCAAAGCGCAGCGAAGACACCAGGAGGCAAGCGGGCGGTCGGGCTGGCGGGCACACGGGGATTGCGCGCCCGCGCGCGATCGCCCAACCAGACCCTCGGCGCTGAGCGGTGCTTTTCCCTCCGCCGAGGGTGCCCCGCCCCACCCTCTTGCCCAGCGATTGGTGAGTCGGCAGCTGGGGGGGCGGAGACTACAGGAGTCACCGCCATCTTCTCCAATGGAAACGAGACAGAGGCGGGCCCAGTGGCGGAAGGAGCATGGCGTGGAGACAGCTCAAAGTGAGTTCAGCTGGAGCGGCCCTGCTGCGGCGAGGAGAGAACTTGCGGGAAGGCAGACGGGGGGCGGATGGAGGGAGGGCTAGCCTGGGCGAGGTGTGGACGGGAGGCGGCTCCGAGAGGGTGGGCCTCTTTGGCACGTTTGTGTATCTTTGGGGACACCTGCAAATGATCATGCGTGTGCATTTACACATGTACGTGGTCACTGTGTAAACGGACGTGTAAACGGAGTAGATGCCGATCTGTGTCAGCGCACGTGGGCCTTTATTGAGCCAGGCACAGGGCGCTTAGTGAACACAGGATCGCCTAGCAGTGTGTGCAGCACCCAACCTGGAAAGAAATTACAGTAAAACATGGTGCCAACACTTTTAGATAAAAGTTTAGGGCAGGGTCTTTGTAACGGCGCTCAGAAATCTGTTGATCAACATAAGGGGCGTTCCTACAGTCTCCTGGAGGAGAAGCAAGAAAAATGAATACTAGATCTATGTTGACGGCTGGGAGTGACCCTAAAGGCAAATCCAATCAGGTCACTTCCTTGTTCAGGGAACAAAACTCAAATCACCTGGGTGCATCTCATTCTCCTCTGCCGCCAAGAGTGGAGAGAGCATTAACACCGCCCCGCCCTGCCGCCTAATTAACTTCTATTTATCCTTTGAATATCAGCTTTAAGGCACTTGGTCAAGGAAGCCTTTCTCTACCTCTTTGATTAGGTTCTTCTCTCACTTTTTTCTTCATAGCTTTGTCACAGTTATATGTTTGCATGATCATTGATTTCTGTCTCCTGAGGTTGTACTCCTTGTAAAGGCAGGGACTTGGTCTGTAGCCCATCCTTGAGTGCAGTCACTATGTGCTGAATGACTGAATGAGTGAGGGACTCAGCATTGGGCAGTGACAATTAGAGAAAAATATTATGAGCGATGTTTGAGCTTGATCCGAGAAGACCTGATGCTCTCTAGAGAACAGACCTGTGGTTGCCAAGGGGGAGGGGGGTGGGGGAGGGAAAGACTGGGAGTTTGGGACTAGCAGATGCAAACTATTACATGTAGAATGGATAGACAGCAAGGTCCTGCCGTATAGCACAGGGAACTATATTCAATATCCTGTGATAAACCATAATGGAAAAGAATATGAAAAAGAATATATACATGTATAACTGAATCATTTTGCTGAACACCAGAAATTAACACATTGTAAATCAATGATACTTTAATAAAATTTTTAAAGAAGACCTGATGCTCCTTTAAAAAAATTTTTTTTTGCAACCCTCTTTATTATCCTGAAGTGGAATTTATGTATAATGTAATCTTTCTATATATAATTTAAAAAAGTCAACATAATGTCCTAACTGGAATATAAAGGAGAAGTAAATTTATAATAAAATAATATGTATTTCAACCCATAAATATTAGGGCATGAGTCACCTAGTTAGTGAGTCAGGTGCTTAAGCCTCTACTTAGAAATTCTAGTGCCACAGGAATGTTTTATTGTCAAACATCTAAGCAAAGCACTGAACCATTCCACATGGATTTTCTGAAACGGTGAGTGATTCTTGTAATGTTCTGTGCAAAACAGTATAGTCATTCCTCAATCTACAAGGTAATTGCATTTCTGGAAAGTCAATGAAAACCACACAGGAGATTGTGTTTATGTGGGGAAATAGAGTTTGCATTTCTAGGCTCAGATAATATGAACAGATATTTTTACCTAGTGAATGTCAGTAGGATGTTCAAAAGTCACACACGATAGGGACAGTTCTGACTTTACTGACTTCCTGCTCACTAAATCTATTAACATTCTCCTCCGGGTGCCCACCACATGTCCCTAGGGGGCAATACTGCCCCTCTTAAAGATTTTTAAAAATTTTTTAATATTTAATTTAATTAATTTATTTTTGGCTGCGTTGGGTCTTGGTTGCTGCACGCGGGTTTTCTCTAGTTGGGGCAAGTAGGGGCTACTCTTCGTTGCGGTGCGCGGGCTTCTCATTGCGGTGGCTTCTTGTTGCAGGGCACGGGCTCTAGGCGTGCGGGCTTCAGTAGTTGTGGCGCATGGGCTTAGTTGCTCCGCGACATGTGGGAATCTTCCCGCACCAGGGATTGAACCCATGTGCCCTGTATTGGCAGGTGGATTCTTAACCACTGCACCACCAGGGAAGCCTTGCCCCTCTTGAAATCCCTGGCCTGAAGTCCTTCAGGGCTAGAGGAGTGCGTGTCAGCAGAAGTGCAGATACAGCCTCTGACTGTGGAGGCAATACGTGAGCAAGAACCCGAGACCAGCGTTAGCAGAAGGCCACGGACATCACTGCATGTTATGTCCTCTGTGTGTGTGTAAGTCGTGTAAAGGGTTCAGAGAAGGTGCTACAGCCTAGCCTTGAGGGGGCCCCATT